CTCTGTCTCTTTCACAACGTGGCTAAACGTTGGAATAAGATTGAACTTTTGTACTCAAATTTATCAGTCAAATTGGCGAACTGCTGTTGGTAAAAAGTCGCTGTAACCGCATTTAATAGCTTATAATATACAAAGTGTTCCAGATTCTCCTTCGCAATTTTTGTGGAAACATAGAATGGATTAATATAAACATAAAAGTTCTATACCGTTTTGCAATATTCGCAATAATAGTCAAGATGTTAATTATAAAGAAGATATAATAAAAAATATTGGTAAATGATCACGCGCCATACGGTAGATGAGCTGTAGTGACGATATATGCTGTTCTGTGTTTGTACATTAGATCAAATTGAGAAAAAAGCATGTTGTCATTTTACAAATAATCATTTAGATTTTTAGCTATTAATGAAAGAAAATTGTTATATGATTGTGTGCGATAATATGCACAAATTTTCTTTAATTAATACTTAAAAAGTTATATAGTCACTTGTACAATGGTAAAGGATATTTTTATTCAGTTTGACCTAATGTATAAGTATACAACAACAACAGACGGCACCACTACAACTCATCTGTTATATCGCACGTGATCATTCATCAATCTTTTTTAATTAATATCTCGAGATTTATTGCGAATATTGCAAAACAGTATGAGATTTTTATGTTCACTTCAATCCATTCTACGTTTCTATAAAAAGGTGGGACACCTTGTACAATCATCATATCATACTAAACGCAAAGCAGTACCTTCTTGGTCTGAATATTATTGTGTTTTACAGTCGATATTGTCAAATCTATAATTTTTAGTATTTCGAGTTATCATACATAATCTATTTTTCATCATTCATGATAATGTAAAAAATCTTTTCTCTTAAATCTAGATAACAAACATGAACTTATATTGAAATATTGTTCTTCATTATTTGCACTAAGCATATGTGAAATCTATCTTATCTTCTTATTAACTTTTTTCAACTATTGTATACGAATGGAAATAGCTACACACACATTGTCCTCAACTGCATAACAAATTTCTTTTTTTTTTAATTTATGTGGAGTTTTGATCAAGTAGCAGTTGTAAATTCTCATCCTCGAATTTTTTCGATAAATTGAGATGTGGATATTTATATTCAAATCAAAATTCCCATCACAAATTCTTTGATGTAATTTCTTACACGTTTAATAACACATTGTATCTTCACCAAGAACTATATAAATCACATTGACAGCTATTATTTTTAAGATAAAAGAATAGAACAAAGATATAATAACTAATGTGCATTTCATTAGTGATTATCGTGTTTATTGCTGATGTATTAGGTTGTGTCACTTGTACCGCGATATTAAATAACATATTTGTGAACATAATGGCGCATGAAACTGCATGAGAGTGTGAAAACATGCAAAAAAATATTTATTACAAATAAATGAAATTAAAGGCATAAAAAAATAATTTACACAATATAATACAATAAATGTAAAGAAAAATACAAGAATTAAAAGTTACTTGTACATGAAAAGTGTGTTTATATAAAGTGTCCCATCGCCTGTTTCGTTATCAAGCGACACGGTAGTGTCGCGAAGCCAAGTGCAAGCGCGAAGCAACGCGGCCTACCGTGTATAATTACGCGACGGCTTTAGTTGAATGTAGGTTAAATTCTCATTTCGGCTGAATTGACGAAGTTCTGAAGAGACTTAATCGATTCTTTGGATTTACATTACTTAATAAAACCGTCTTTATTTTTTCTCTACATGCTCTAGAAACTGAGTTCTCTTAGCTCAAAGTCTGAAATCGTGAATTTACGCGTAAAAAACGTCGTCTCCTCACCGCAGAAATGTCCGTTGACTATGTTTTCCGTTAGATGGCGAGATGGCGCGACTATTACGATTACCGATTTAGCGACTTGTAACTGTCATCGCGACGCAGTCGAATGACAGTTCGCGTGTACGAGAATGGGGTTATAACGAAATATAATAATTTTTTTAATGTATAATAGTTTTAAAAGTTGCGAAGCGTGTTTGCCATGATAATTTTGAAGAAAAGCTATGGAGTTAACAAGGCTAATATCAGATAAGTATCGGCATAAAAATATATAACGATGGAAAACTTGAATACTTTGTGTCGTGTTTATTTTTTACAGCTAAATTAAATAATGCGATAAAGGAGGAAGAAAAAGAAAAGGAGTAGAAAATAAAGAGAGAAAGGAGAGATATGCAAGAAGAAATGAAGAGGAGACAGAAAGAATAAAGATAAATGATAAGACGGTAAAAAAAACCATATGAGAACAAGATGGAAAAAGAAGAGGAATATATAAGTGAGTAAGAGAATCAATAAATAAAAGGATAGATAATAAATAAATAAATAAATAAAAAATTTTTTGTCTGTTACGATAATAAATAAGTATTACTTTACATAATATAGGATAACTTATAAGGATATAGAACTAGGATAATCTATATTTATACGTTTATTATTTTTAAACAAGATAAGAAGAAAGGAAGAAAGAAAGAAAATGGGAAGAAAAAGAGAAAATATAAAGAGAGAATATAATACACAGACAGGTAAGGAACAGAAAATAGAAACAAAGCAATAAGATAGAAATAGAGAGATGCAAGATAGTAAAATAGGAAAGGTTACTTTTTAAAAGTAATTCATTATTATTACTCTTTCTTCATCAAAAAAGTACGTTATTACCGTTACTTGAATACTTTGTGTTGTTTTTATTTTTTATAGTTAAATTAAATGAAAAGAAGATAAAAGAAGAAGGAAAAGAAAAGGAGAAGAATAGAAAGAGAGAAAGGAGAGAATGTGTGAGAATAAATGAAGAAAAAACAAAAAAAATAAAGATAAATGATAAGACGGTAAAAAAAACTATAAGAGAGCGAGGTGGAAAAATAAGGAATAGAAAATAGAAACGAAGCAAAAAGATAGAAAATAGAGAGATGCAATATAGTAAAATAGAAAAAAATTACTTTTTAAAAGTAATTCATTATTATTACTAGTTATTCATCGAAAAAGTACGTTGTTACTGTTACACTTCATGTTTAGACAGAAAGGAAGAGATAGTGTTGTAAAGAAAAAAAGGGAGAGACTGTGTGAGAGAGAGAGAGAGAGAGAGAGAGAGAGAGAGAGAGAGAGAGAGA